AACGCTGCTGATGAGCGATTTCAGGCTGGCACACAGGCTTAGACGCCTCCAAGACCAACCAGAGAAGAACCTGACTTGTTGGCACAATGACATAAAGCTGCCGAGATATCACCTCCTCCCACCACACACACACACACACATTTCTTCACAGACAATTGGCTGATCATTCATCATTCACAGGTGGGCTCTGGTCACACATCAAAAAAACACTGATCATATTCTGAGGACCAAGCTGACAAATTTAAGTCCTGTTTCCAGAATCCTGAACCATACCAGAAAAGAAGGATGGATGAGTTGCCAAGGGACTGGAAAATGTTGAGTCTCCAGGCTAAAGTGTTGTTGGTTTTGTTTGTTTGTTTCTGAGACAGGGTTTCTCTGTGTAGCTCTGGCTGTCCTGGAGCTCACTCTGTAGAGCAGGTTGGTCTGCCTCTGCCTCCACAAGTACTGAGGTCAAAGGTGTGTGCCACCCACTGCCTGGCCAGGCCAAACATTTGTACAATGGACCAAACGTCTGTGTATATACATGTTACCAGGCCATTAGAAGATCGCCTGGGAGTAAACTCACTGATAATGTATTGACTCACTCTCTGCTCTGGCTGCAAAGGAGTCTGGGAAGCTGTATGCAAATGAGATAGAAAATCATTTTAAGGGGACATGAAGCTGGGTGGAAGGAAGACACCCAGCCTTGGAGATATCCTCCATAACACTTGGAGGGTTTGAGCATCAAAGTCTGGAAGAATTGGGCAACCTGGGCTCTGGAAAGGGCTGGCTTTGAATATTCCTCTTGTTGTTAATGATGACAGCGTGATGATTGGAAGTTCTGGGGAAGCAACCCCTAGCCCAGGGCCTTATGAATTGCAATGCTAATAGCAGTGTTGATTTGCTTAGCATCTTGATTTCTTTTGCTTTGTGGGTTTTATATTAGTTACTGATCAAGAGAGGTGAGAGAAGGGAAGAAGGGAGAGAGGAAAGAATGGAGGTAGTGAGGGAGGGAGGGAACAGCAAAATAGAAAAGTGAGAGACAGGTGGGCAGATGGGGAAAGAGCAAGAAGATGAGGAGAGAGCGGGCTTTGATGGCTGGACTGGGACGAAGGCTCATAAAAGACAGCTCTGGATACGCTCCGTAGCCCTGCCTGCAAGAAACCAAGACATTTAGCTCGACTCTTCCTCAGTCTACCTGTCTTTGCCAAGCTGGCCTCTCTCGTCTCCTTGTCTGCTCCACACGACAGCTGTGCACCTGTTCACCTCGGCAACCTGGTGAGCCTCACTGGATCATCCACCTCCTCCTCACACAGCCCTCAGACTCTCTCATCTACCCTGCGTGCTCCGCCAGGAGGCTTTGTCTCCACTGTGGGGCAGTTTGCTGTCAGCCGTTACCGGGGCCGCAGGGGGATGGAAAGAAGGCTAAGAAGACTGACTCCTAGGAGGCTGTCTGTGCCCAGCAGCGCATAGGGGTCAAGGCTGCAAAGAACAGTGACAAGCCAGAGGAACCTAGGTGCTGAGAAGAGGAGCTAGAGTTGGTTCTAAAAAAAAAATGGGGCTCGTTAAGGTGCCCCTGGGACACAGCGCACAGCTTCGGGGACACCAGGGAGAACCCCAGAGAGGACACTGTTAGGAGCTACTGCGGAGCTGGGCACTGTGCCCCACCTGATCTGCAGTGTGCTTTCCATACTCAGGAACCCATGGTCCAACAGGAACTTGTCCATATGAGAGGAGCCCTGACAAAGAACGGAGAAAGGGGAGCTGGGACGCAGGCTCTCCCGCAAGTAAGGGAGCCAGGAGCAGGGAAGCAGCCACACACACAGGAAGCCCAGGTGGCAGTGTCAGTATGGGATAACTGTTGGGGTGAGAACTAAGAGCAGAGGCAAGAAGTGGCCAGCGAGGGTGGCAATGTGGCAGGGTAGCCCATGGAGGGCACAAAGGAATCTGTAAAGTTTGAATAAAGTCAATTCCCCGGCCACAAAGCAGGAGAAAGCAAGACGCTAGGCAAATCACCGTTACTATCAGTATTACAACTCCTAGGGCATCTTAAATTTCTTCCAGTGTCTGTGAGGACTGTCCTCTGTCAGGGTCCACACTCTTTCAGCCTGGTGGTTCTACTCCTTTTCCCGGGAGCTCCTTCCAATCAGTTCTAACACCGAGAGAAGACAGTCTGGCAAAGGTGGGGAGGGAAAAGACAAAGAGAGCCTTCCTGTGGGACTTGGTCTGGTCCCCTTGCCTGCCTCTTACCGGACCACCTGAAGATGCCAGCACAGAAACTCTGGGAGGAGGTCTGACTTTGGATAGGCCTGCCTGTCTCTCTGCGGTATCAGGGCTGGCATTGGGGTTGAACACACCATCCCTCAGAGCAGGTCCTGGGGAGGTGGTGGACCTTCACGGTCTCACAGGGAGCAGAGGAGTACCAACTTTCTCCTCTTCCTTCCCCCCACCCCCTCAGAGCCACACTAACGTCAAAAGACTAATTACCCCTGATTTGAAATTTCCTGGTTTTGTTCCTCCAGGTGAGGAAGTTCTGTGGTGCTCACTTTCACTTTCACAGGCAAGGGGAGCTGGGGACCTGAGGCAGGCTCTGGCTAGGTGGGAGGTGAGGTGAAACCATCCATGGGTTAGGCTGAAGGTAAATGAAACAAATCAGAAGAAAAGGTTCACAAGCCCCCCTCCCCTTGGCCTCTGTGTGAAGCTCACCGGGAGCCCACCCGGCAGTGACCATGATGTCCTCCATTTAGGGGGCTATGCCTCACCTAGGATCCGGAGTGTAGGCAGGAGAAAAGAGGAGACACTTGAGGCTTGGATAGAGAAAGCGCAAAGCAACCTTTATTAAAAAGCCAGCCACCACGCACTGTGTAAAGTGGCTGCAGCCGCTGCTGCCTTTTAGGGACCCTTCCTCTCCGTTCTGCCAGCATGCCCGTTCCAGCTGACACTCGGAGCTTGCCCGGGGCTGAGAGGGAATAGAGCTCGGTCTTGTCCCTAGGAAGCTAGCATCCCAGAGAGTGTGTGTGGTGGTGGTGGCGGTGGCGGTGGCGGTGGTGGTGGTGGTGGGGAGGCTGCGTCTCAGGAAGCAGAATTGCTAAGTGTGAGAATCCTACAGAGAACAAAGTGGGAGTAGGGGGTGGGCGGAGAGGTGGCCCTTGTCACCCACCCCTATGAATACCAGGTGGACTTCCGTATCGCTCTCTGGGGCCAAAGGGCTGCCCCAGTCCTTTGAGGGGAGGTGTGGGAAAGCTAAGGGCCTCGCTCCTCTCACACCCCTCCCCTCTCACCTGGAGAACGGCCGCGTGCACCCGAGGGGGTCTAACAGCCCAGGTGAAAAGGAGAAAAGGAAACTAGACTCCTCTTGGCCTGGGTGGACCCGGCTAGAGACGTCCTCCCCACCCCCCCCACGACCCTAGGGACAGAAATCTCAGGACGCAGGGTAGCTAGCCCAGGAGGCCGGCGACAAGGCCCTTCTTTATGGGAGTGGAGCGGGGGCGAAGGCGCTTCCTCCTGAGCCCGGGAGCTGAGCGGCGGCGGGGTCTAATTAGAAGCCTGGCGCAGGAGCGGGCGGCCCGCGGGGCTCCCCCGGACGCGCGGCCCCCGGCTCCCCGCGGACGGCGGGGCGCGCCCGTCGCGGCCCTCGCTCCCGGAGGCCACGGGGCTCCACAGGTGCCGTCCGGGTCTCAAGAACCCCACCGGAGGCTCGGCCGGATCCCCGCAGGGCGCAGCCGCCGCTCGGCGGCCTCCCCGGCCCCTACCCTGCATCCCTGCGCGGCTCGGCCCGGCACCCCCACCCCGGGCTTCTCCGCGCCTCTCTCCCCTGAAGCATCTCGAAAAATGATTATCGGATTAGATGTACGTCGGCTCGCTGGGTCCCCCCTTCCCCTCGGCATAATTATTATAATTCCAGGCAAGCCGTCGGAGGGGGGGGGGGCGTGTGCGCACGTTGGTGAGGAGGCTTCTGTCCAGCCGAGCCTCGCCGCCGGCGCGCCCCGGCCCCTGGGCGCTCACGTTCCTCCCGAGGGAGCTCTGCGCTTCTGATCGCGGCCTTAAGCCTCGCGTCCCACGCCGGGAGGAGGGTGTCCATCAAACGCCCCTTGGAAGGGTCACCCCAGCTTCCCCTCCCCTCGGGGTATTCGCGGAGGACTCAGGGCCCCCCGGGGGCCGGCACCTTTCCTTCCGCTTCATCTCCCCCCCTCCCCAGGCCGGGAAGGGTCTCCTCGGCTCGGCAGCCTCCTTTTCTGGAGTGGAGGACGCCGGCCAGCCTCTCCAGGGCCGGGTCCCCTCAGCCTCTCGGCCCGGGGAGACGCAGATCCTCGCTCTCCCTCCCGCTCATCCCTCCAGGCAGCTGCGCCTCCTCCCCAGGCGGATCGAGCTGGGCCGCGGACGGCCGAGCGACCCCTGCCACCCGACCACCGCGAAGAAGCGACAGCAGCAGCTTCGGGGGACGCGCGCGGGGCCCCGGGCTGGCTCCGGGCTGGCCCCCGGTGCGCCCCGCTCGCCGCAGGCTCCGCGCCACTCCCGGCTCGGGCTCCGGCTGGCTTTACGTAACCGCGCTGCCCCGAGCTGTTCGGTCTTGTCTTGCCGATTTTTGGGTGTTAAAGCGTGCGTGCGTGCATGTGTGTGTGTGTGTGTGTGTGTGTGTGTAAGACAGGGTCCCCAAGAAGAGCGTCCCTCTGCCCCGCGCTGCCGCCCCTCTGTACTCTTTCCTCGACCATCGCCTCGGCGTCGGTGTCATGTGCTAACCCGTTTTCCGCCACTCTTGTTCGACGCCAGGGACCGCACGGACTTTCACTGTCGTCCCGTCCCCCCCCCCCCCCGCCAGGGGGATCGGTGTCCCCGGAAGCCCCGCCAGCGGCGTCCCAGCTGCGGCCCGATCAGCTCCAAGTGGCGGCCAAGGAAAACCCAAGCCGCCCGCAGCCCGGGCGCTGAGCGACGGTGGGGGCCCGGCTGCCCCGGGGGGTGGGGGGCGTCTACCCTAGGGGTGGCCCCGGGGGGCCGGGGCGAACGCGCGGAGACTCACTCACCACCAGATCGGGTAGCTGCCCAGCGCCTGCTTCAGGCTGCAGAGCACCAAGAGGTATCCGAGAGGAGCCATCGCGGGCTTGGCGGGGCGCCGGGGCTGGCCCGGCCCTCGGAGGTGGCGCGGCTGCGGTGGCGCGGGGCCCTCTGCGGCGGCGGGGCGCGCGGGGTTCCCGGGTGTGCACCGGGACGCGGGCTCCGAGGGCGGCGCTGCGCCAGG